CCAGCTCAAGAACCAGAACTGCTGTTGACTGCATCCAAAGCTTTCTTTGTGGTCTGTGGTGATCAAAACTGTTTCCCTCGGCCCCAAACTCACCATTTACTGGCTTTGGGAATCACTTCCTTCTATTGATTTTGTGGCTTTTCTGTCCAACTAACATTTCTAAAAAGGTTAGTTTTTCTTTGCCAGTTTTTTTAAAAACTTTGATGTCTTTGGAATCTTTTTGTGCCCACAGTTCCCCTACAAACTTTCCCAAACAGTTGATCCGTGGAAGCCCCCAGAAGCTGGAGTTTGAGTTACAGCTTCCTGCAGTCAGTACTAGCCTGTTCACTTGTCCCTGGTACGGTTCAACATGCTTCTCTGTCCTCTGTATTTCCTGCAAATACAGAGCATTCATTTATTTTTATTTGTTTTTATAATAATATTTAAATAAATAATATTAATTATTATTCCTGAAAATACAGGGCAGCGGGGTTGAAAGCTTGCTGAGACTCAGGTGTGATCCCATGGCATGGCTGCAATGGTGGTCCACTGAGAAGCACATGGCAACTGGTTGTCTCTTTGTGACTTAAGTAGAGGTTGATGCTAACTGCCTAGGTCTATTAATTCCCTGAGGGCTGGAGACTATTTTAACCTGTTACTTCTTAATTTGCTTGCTACAAGAATTCTGTAAAAGGATGCATCTCCTCCTCTGTTGTTTCTTTAACCAGGGGCTGCATTTTTAAATGCCTGGTTCATTCCCCATATTTACATGTTAACAGTTAACGAACATTTTCTTTCACCACCCAAAGCTAACTTGGTTTATTTGTCTTGAACTTTGCATATATGTATGTGTTCACACATGCATTTGACATGTTTTATGCGTTTCAAACCACTTGCAGATTGGCATGTCTCATGTTTGATAGTCTCTTCCACTGGCCCTTGAATCCTTTTGAGATGACCAGCATTCTCCATGGCCTCCTCACTATCTGATACAACTCGGTTTTAGGATCACCTTCGACCTCTCACACCACAGACCTGGAATCTGCCATTTTCCCGACACTCCCCGGTTTCTTACGTGGGAAATAGTATTTCAAAACCTAAATTCAGACACGAAGTATGTAAATACCTATTTTTAAAGACCAAATAACTCCGCCAGGAGTGGTGGTGCATACCTTTAATCTAAGCACTTGGGAGGCAGAGATAGGCAGATCTCTGAGTTCAAGGCCAGCCTGGTCTACAAAGTGAGTTCCAGGACAGCCAGGGCTATTACACAGAGAAACCCTGTCTTGAAAAACCATAAATAAATAAATAAATAGATAAATAAATAGGTAGTTCATTCTGATATTCAAATTCAAATTAAGAACTACTAGGTTTTCACAAACGGCTCAGAATAACAATGCTATCATTTCTGCAATCAAGTGGATGGGTAGATTCACACTTTTTCACGTGCTGTCTGTATTTACCTTTATTTTTCCAAAATAATATTTTCCTATATCTACATTGTCTGAGTGTACAGACAGTGTGCACAAAACATGCTCCCTATCATCCTTCACTTAATCTTAATTCTGCAAGTGGTCATATATTAAATATTCCATTAGCCTTAGAGTTGCTATATCTAGTTATTTTGACTTCATGTCCACAGGAAGACTCACGGGAACTCAACTCCCTGAATCTTACATATTGGTAAGCTTTTGTTTTCTTAAAACCCTGAAAATTGTTGCTCCACTTATCTCCAACATTCTGAAGCACCTGAAACTAAGCTAATTTTCTTTCCCTGGCTCCGAGGTTCAATCTTCACAAGCCCACCTAAAAGTTCCCAGCCATGTGAACATGTCTTGGTTCATCATTCTAAATCAATATCCTATTCTGTGGTCTTCCTAATTACAGGTGTCCCATTGCTCATTTAATTTTGATGCCAACGACTGAACTCAATAAGCATGTGCTCTACCACTGAGCTACATCCCCAGCCCCCAAATATGTCATTTTTCATTTTAAAATTTTATGGGGAGGTTGATGTTTTCTGTGTTCCATGTGCGTGCCTGGTGCCTTTGGAGGCCAGAAGAGAGAGTCGGTTACCATGGGACTGGGACTGGAGCTATAGACAGCTGTGAGCTGCCACATAGGTGCTGGGAATTAAACCAATGTCCTCTGGAAGAGCAGCCACTGAGCCATCTCTCTGCCCCAGCCCCCATCTTTTTTTTTTTTTTAATTTAGTATAAACGTTCTTAGATATTTTTAAAGAAATACCCTGAACCCAGGTATAAAAGTTCATACCTATAATCTCAGCATGCTTGAGGCTGAAGCAGGAATACTGCAGCCTGGGTTACATAGTAAATTTCAGGCTAGAGTGAGAGACCCTGGCTCAAAACAAGTAAGCGTGTGCCTGGGAGGAGGGGACTGGACCTACCTGGACTGAGTCTACCAGGTTGATCTCAGTCGGTGGGGGAGGCTTTGCCCTGGAGGAGGTGGGAATGGGGGGTGGGCTGGGGGAAGGTGAGGGGGCCCATAAGGGGGAGAACAAGGGAATCCGTGGCTGATATGTAGAACTGAATTGTATTGCAAAATAAAAATAAAAATTAAAACAAAAACAAAAACAAGTAAGCGTGAGGCATGGGGAGGGGGAGGGGGTGGAAAGTGTTTATACTGCGCTCTTTCTGTGGTCCCATAGTTGCATGTTAGACTTATTCCTCTCACCAGTAGTTGCTCATTTCTTTTCCATCTTTTTAAACAGAGGTTTTAAACTTATTTGTTGTTTATGTGTATGCGTGAGTGGCTGCATGGGGCCATGCCACATGTGTGCAGAGGCCAGAAGAGGCTGTGAGAGCCCCCTGGAGCTGAAGTTACAGGCAGCTGTGAGCTGCCTGAGGTGGGTGCTGGGAAGGGAACTCTGGAAGAGCAGCCAGTGCTCTGAACCTCGGAGTTACCTTTCCAGCCCTCTTTTGAATCTCTATTTTCATTTTTAAAATTTTCCTTGTCTTTTACCTTTGTGTACCTAAAGTGTGAGTTGTGTTTATTTGCTCTTGTGCTCCTTTTTAGTCTTATTTCTGAACTAAAAATTTCCTTTAATTCTTGAGTTCTTTCCCAAGGTCTATCTCATCCTTTGTAAGTTTTCAAATTGTGTTTATATTCGCCTTTCATGTGTGTGTAACTTTCCTAATGCTTTTCAATTCTGTTTTGAAATGGTAGGTTATGGTTTTGATCTTGTGTGAGGACTTAACCTTATTTAGCTCCCTATTCTCTTTTTATGAATAAGCTTTTATGCAACTTGACCCTGATCCTTTTCTGCTAAAGCTCGTCTTGACCCTTTAGCAGAAGACATGCTTTAGTTGAAAGGCGTGGCTCTGAAGTCAGAAAAGCTGACTTCACAGGGTCCTGTGGCACGCACAGGTCCCTGCCCTGTAGTGTGTGTGGTGTTTGAAGGCCTGAGGTTTCCTGGCTCTGTTCTTTGCCCTGGCTTCTCTTCCTTCATCTCTGCTGCCACAATCCAGTTCGGATTTAGCTCTGCTTCCCTAGTGTGGAGTGCTGGCCTCTCAGTTCCAAGAGTCCTTAGGGACTAGAGACTGCTTCACCCCTCCATCATCACTGTGGGCTCCATGCTCTCACCCACCAGACAAACATCAAAATCCCTCCACATCCAGCTGCTGTTATAATGTTGGTCCCATGTTCCCCAGCAAGGGTCTTGGCCACTTGGGGGCTTTCCTGTTCCTGTTCCACTAGACCCATCCTTCTTCCACGTGGCTTCTTCCTGTACAGGTATGGATAACATGCAGCTCTGTGAGTCTCCCCTTCTGCTAATGTTTTGAAGTTTATGCTAATGTTATAAAGTATATATGTATATACAGATGATTTATTTTATTATCTATTTGTGTATATCTCTGTGTGTGTGTGTATGTACATGTGCATGGGTGCCTGTGGAGGCCAGAAGGTATCAGATCTCCCTGATCTGGAGTCAAAGGTGGCTGTGATCCCTCCTCCCCAATATGGGTGCAGGGAACTGAACTCTGATCCTCTGCAAGAGCAGCAAGTGTTCTCAATTGCTAACCATCTCTCCAGTCCCAGGATCTATTGTAAGATGAATTGCTAAATGGTCTTATTAATAAAAAACCCGGAGCCAGATATTGGGGTGAAAGCTGAAAGATCAGAGGGCAAGCCAGCCACGTCTTACCTCTAGGAAATCCTCAGCCCAAGAGAGCGCTACTTCTTGTATACTTATGCATGCCTATACACCTTTCTGTGCCCTGCCATCTTACTTCCTGTCTCCACCCAGCTACATCACTTCCTCTTTCTGCCTGTCCAGACCTCCAGACCTCTATGGTTAGCTAGCACTGGGATTAAAGGCATGTGCTACCACACCTGGCTCTGTTCCCAGTGTGGCCTTAAACTCACAGAGATCCGGATGGATCTCTACCTTCCGAATGCTGGGATTAAAGGTGTGTGCTACCACTGCCTGATGTCTATGTTTAATGTATTGGCTGGCTTTTTCCTCTGATCCCCAGATAAGCTTTGTTGGTCTTTCTTATCTAATTACTCTTTGTGTGAAGGGTGCTAGGCAAATTTCAAGTAATGCTTCCTTTTCTGCTGTCTTTCCAGAACCTTCTTTGACTTTAAGAAGTTGATAGATGTTGCTGAATTTCTTGGAGGATGATATGTTACTGATCTATTGCTATGAAGAGAAATCATGACCAAAGCAAATGAAAAAAGAGAGCATTTAGTTGGGGGCTTGCTTACAGTTCAGAGAGTTAGTCCATTATCATCACAGCAAGGAGCATGGCTGCAGGCAGGCAGGCATGGTGCTGGAGAGGTAGAGACTGGGCCTGGCATGGGCTTTGCAACCTCATAGCCCACCCTCAGTGACATACCTCTTCTAACAAAGCCACACTTCCTAATCCTTCCTAAATAGTCCTTCAACTGGAAACCAAACATTCAAGTATATGAGCCTATAAAGGCCATTCTCCACTTAAACAATATGCTCTATGTGGGCATTTTATTTAAATTAATAGAGACTTTCTGTTTCTAAACAGCAAAGGGGAATCGCTGAGCATTCCAGGAAGAAGTTGTATAGCCCATGCATTCGCCTTCTGAAGCAAAGTCTGGGAACAGGTACCAAAGAGCTTGGTAAGTGAGGGTGTGGGCTTTGGCAAACTCCTTACAGGCTGCCCTGCGCCAGTGCAGCCGGAGGACAGGAGAACATGCTGACTTTTGGAGACCCAGGCAGGAGACAGATGCATATGAATCTTTCCATGAGCCATATTTGAAGCAGAAAATGCAGATTGCTGTAAGCCAAGTTTGAATCCAAACATGCTGGAGAAGTTTATTTGGGCATTTCTCAAACCACAGGTCACATGTCTGTGTTTCTTCAGATCCTTAAGAAACCAAGTCATCTGAGAAGGACAGCTGTTTTTATTATCCCTCTATTTCAACAGGCTTCTCGTTAACAGTAAGGAACTTTTGACATTTTCAGACTTTATATTTACTTTATCTGTGTACCATACGAATAAACCCAAGGCCTCTGAAACTAGCAATTGACCCAGAATCATCTTGAAGAAAAACAAAAGTCTATATTTGACTTTTTCTTCCAAACTGGGGTGTGGATCAAGTCTACTTGTTGACTAATTACATGTTTTAGAACATTAGATTCAACAGGCCTTGTACGTTTGTGTCAACATTTGTTCTTGTGAATTTCACGTTTACTCCCAACTCACTGAACGAGGTGTGTGGCCTGATCATGTTGGGGTGGGAATCCCACCTCCTTCTCCATACATCCCTCTTTGTGCTGTACCTGTCATTTGGAGCCTTAAGACAAAAACTCAGAAGAAACTCTTTCTTTTAGGACTTCTAGGCTGATGATGAACGTCCAGACTAGATTAAGCTTATGTGGAACTGATCAATTCAGTGTAAGATCAAAGGCCCTGCCGAGCACAATTTTCTTTCTTCGTTTAAAGTTTTTATTAATGAAAATGTTGTATTTTACAGAGACCCATTAAAAAATAATAGAAATAGCTATTTCTAGAAATGAATAACTTAACTAAATCTATAGCACTGTTAAATTGATATGAATTTTATAGACTACTCATCCACAGACCATCTAGATCATTAATAGTCCCCAAAGACTATTACCTCCTAAAAACCATACACTCTGTCCTGTTCCTTCTAAGTCCACCATGTGGTTTCCTTCCATTCATTAAAAATCCACAAAATTATCCAAGCTTCCACCTATCAGGCATCTACATAAAGTATGACCCAGAAGATGGTGGGATATTTCTCATGGGGTTATCAGAGTAAAGACCACTGGGTATTTACTATGTACTTCCTATTCACAAGTACCATGCTAAATCATATACAATACTGTGAGGTCTAGTTTCAGAGTAATTAATCCCTACTAAATGCAAATCTTTCAGCTGGTTTTGTAACATACAAAATGTCAGAAGCTGTATATTTAAGTTCTTCACATGAAGACACCTGTAATTGCTAGAATTTATTTAGCTTAAGAGACCTGTCTACTCCTCCATTCCGTTAGTCACGCTTTAGCTGGGAGGAGGGGATGTTTGCCCTTCCCTGCATTTAAAAAGACCCAATGTGGAGGAGGGGTGGGAGGGGCCTTTAACAGGCTATAATAAAGACTGGGATCTAGTGAAGTGGTTGAACTGTTAAGGAGATGACTTGAGGGGTAGGGGGAGAGTTCATTGCTTACTCCTTTGCAGGAAGAAAGGGAGGACATGTTTGGGTTTGCTAGTTTTTGTTTCAGAATGAGCAAGTGGATTGTATACAGAAAACCAAACTCATAGAAGAGATGGGAGCAGTGGACAGAGCTTCTCGAAGGAATGTTCCAGCTGGATGTTTGTTCAGCATTCATGGTTTGATTTTGAGATAAGACGCATCACATGGTACGGGAATATCTGGATGAAAATGCACATTGATGATAAAAGGTTGTGTGAGATACTGAGGTCTAGAAATTTATGTCGACATTAACGTGAAGACACTTAGAATCATGGCAGTCTATATCTTACATGCTTATCACCTACATTTCTAGCAACAAAACATCATTGAAATTGTAAAAATCTAGAAGTGGTCCGGAAAAGCCTCATGATGACTTGAAGCTTTGACTCAGGTCAAAATGACCTGAGAATGAGGTATTTACTGTAGGGGAGAGCATTATGGAAGGAAGATGGTCCAGGAGCCCAGTTACATTCTTTGAAAATGTGCCATCAGGAATGACTTACCAGATTCTCCAACGGGAAAACTGAAGGAAAGAGCCCTTGAACTTCGAAAGAAGTAATTTTAGAACATACAAAGACCTTCTACTTTACTCTTAAGTTATAAATACATGCTGCAGAGTTATAAATACACCATACCCACAAGCATCAGAGGCAAACAAAATAAATGCTGCAGGGATAAAGCGCTCACAATGAGCTCTTAGGGAAATCAGAGCTGGTTAGCATGTGTCTATGCTTTGTGAAGCTGACGTGCTTTGTGAAGTGATGTACTCATTGCTTTCATCCTTCCGCCAGACATTTCCTTGTCTAGCAGCGTAGTCTTCTAAATGAACAAACCATTGAGGATCTCATACAGTGAGACCCAAGCACAGCACTTGATGGAAGGTAGGCACTGGGGCTTGGTTTTGTGGAATCCCTTTTCATACTTTAGAGAAAGACCATCTTCCAAATACCGATGTTGATCTAACCTCCTAATACTTAAATCTGGATGAGTAAGGTATTCGAGGAATGCAAACAACTGTCATTAATAAATAAACACAGCCGGGCGGTGGTGGCGCACGCCTTTAATCCCAGCACTCGGGAGGCAGAGGCAGGCGGATCTCTGTGAGTTCGAGGCCAGCCTGGGCTACCAAGTGAATTCCAGGAGAGGCGCAAAGCTACACAGAGAAACCCTGTCTCGAAAAACCAAAAAAAAAAAAAAATAAAATAAAATAAAATAAATAAATAAACACATGAGATGCATTACTATAAGCAATGTGATGTTAATGTAGGGGATATGAGACTGGGTTGAAACTTCTAGGTTCTACTGTGGTTTGTGCTACTGTGCAAGAAGTGACTCTTTTTAGGGGGTAGGGAGATGTAGGCAAACAGACACAGATAAACGAGGCTGGACCGACAGCTGTTTTCTTAAGCTGATAAGGTATTGCTTCAAACTCTTGAGGTATGTATTTATTATTTATTTGAAGTTAGCCTGGTAAGTACAGGGAATGAGGATAGGCTCGGTGTGTTCTCTGTTGGTTTGAACAAACTGAGTCTATCTCTGCTGAGCCGAACAAAGTCTCTGCAGTTAACCACATACTTAGCCTTCTTTGGAAGCAGGTGATTGACATGTCCTTGCTCCTTGAGAAGCTCACTGGGCACCTCAGACTCCTGTGGCCACCCCGAGCAACCACCTGAGAGGTACCTAGCATGCTTACCTGCCTCTATCTTATTAGCTTTCGTCTACAGGTTGACTTCCTATATAGCATGCAGAGTCAGTGCCTAGTGGTTTTACAGAAGGATAGCATAGTGCCCCGCTTCATTTAACTCCTCAGCGAAAACAAAAAGAACAGTGATAAAAATTAGTCTGTAATTTTAAAATCTTTTTTTTTAACTGAAGTTATCTGCTGTGTCCATGGATGCTCAGTCACTAGACTGGTGCTTCGTGAGGGTACAGAGGGTATTTCTGTAACCACGTCATCTAGCCCGGTGAAGGCAGGTAGTGCTTATAAAAAGAGCAACTAGAAGATTTAGAGGCTGTAATGCTAGTATACTCTCTCATTATGTTCTTAGTGTTGTCCTTGAAGGTACTTTATGGCCGTTCTATGTAATCTCACACTCTTCAAGCTCACAGTCAAGTCAAGCTTAGGAAAGGAGGAAGGAGCACTGGCGAGGAGCTACCCACATCATGGCAGCCAACAACACAGGAAGTTCAGTTGTTCAAGCCCAACAATTTGAACTACCCTTTCTAACAGCGCAGTCTATAACTGGATTAAGTTGGGCCCTGTAGACTAGCCTATGTTCAGCTGTTCTGGGTCCCCGGGGAGGCTACCTGTAGTGGCAGCTGCATGGTTGGCAGTGTGGCTTGGTAGAAATAATGCGGAGATCAGTTCTGGAGCTGTAAATTCAAGTTCCAGCGCCACGGGCTTTTGAAGGAGCCATTTATCTTCCATGTGCTTCACTTACTGCTTCAAAATGTTAAGTTCTTATCACAGGCAAGATTATAGGGAACTTGAAGATGCACGAAACACATCTTTATGTCTTCTTCAGGCTCGTACTTTCCTTGGGAAGATAAAATTCACCTGCAAAACACTAATCTGCAAGGCAGGGCCCGAGGAAGCCACAGCTGCTCTTTTAGATATATAAACCGTATCCTGAGCAAGATAAATGACTTCCTGCCGCACTAGTCAGGAAGGCACTATAGAGCCAGTTGAGCTCAGGATTAAAGGATGATTAAATTTCATTAAGCCGAGAACTGGGGGAGGGCGGTTCAAACAAGCGCCGGGGCAGGAGCGAAGGTGTGGAGTTGGAGACTACAGTGCTATTTTGGTGTGCTTAGACAGATGGCTTGTGTGGGTGGCCTGTGAGAGATAAGGCGAGTGGCCTGCTTCATCCGTGTCACGGAGTGGGGACTCTAAATTTTACTTTCTGCATTGGAGGAATAGAATAATGAAGATACCTCAAAAGAACCCTAGGATGGAAATCAGGAGTCTAGACCTCCACTTTGTCACCATTCCTCTGGACTCTCTTGGTCGTATCACTAGGAAGTCACATTGTCCTCGGCTGTCTAGTGGAGGAGATTGACTGTCCCTACATGGTCCTAAGTTACAAGGACACGGTGAACAACAAGAGGGAAAGGCAAAGGAAAATGTCTGTGCCCTTCCCCAGCCCGAAGCGACTGTGGAGTAGTTAAGCTGTGTACACTTGGTAGCCGCAGGACAGGAACATCTTTCTCTAGTGCTTATTGCTCAGTAATGTAATGCTTCTTCAGAACGGGGCAGAGAAGCTTGGGGAAAGTGCAAATTGTGATCCTCTGGGTTCACCGTGCATCTGCCGGTCTCGGAGATGGAGGCATGCAAGCAAAGTGTGTAATATCAAATGGAAGGCTCATCGTGGCGTCCTAAGGGAAGCCAGGGTTTGAAG